TGTGTGTAAGTGGTGGTAGTGACAACAGCCAGGATTTACTTGGCAGTCTATATTATTCTGACTATTAAAATGATGAATTACATAAGATTTCAAAGGTGATACATTGTTTTGAAAGAAAATCCATGAATTTTCAAAGCTTAACAATATCATTCCTGTATTTTTCTAAATTTTCACTTTCCTTGGGGTTTCTTCTTTGAACTATCAGTATACAACTATTTCCTCTCCTCTCCAGCACATGTCTCAGGACTCACCTCAGAATACTTTCATCATCAATTATTTTCTCAAGTGTTTTACTCCTCAAATGCAGATGTAGTTCAAAGAGAAAATACTTTCAAAAGTCTCTTTTGATTTGTAGTCCTGAAGATAAGTAAACCACTTTCTCAAATTAACCCTGAATTCATTGGTGCTAGTTAAATTATTTTATTTTTAATTTTTTTTGTGTGGCTGGGGGCTTACAGCACTTCCTTTGGTCCAGTGGAAAGTAGATGTCCCTGAAAAGGTTCCTGCTCATGCTTCATTTGAGTCCCTGCTCTCCTGTTGTCCTTTAGCTGTCTGTGGTTCTGAACCGGCTGTGCGTGCTACATGAGAAGACACCAGTGAGTGAAAAGGTCACCAAATGCTGCACAGAATCCTTGGTGAACAGGAGGCCGTGTTTCACTGCTCTGGAAGCTGACGAAACATATGTTCCCAAAGAATTTAACGCTGAAACATTCACCTTCCATGCTGAATTGTGCACTCTTCCTGAGGATCAGAAGCAAACCAAGAAACAAACGTGAGGAATATTTCATTATTGCATTCATTTACAGTCTGGATAGTGAGAACTGTCAATTGAAATGAGACACTTTTCTGAAATAGTGATTATATTCCATAGAGAAAAGTATAGGTATTACCCTTACGAAGCTGGTAAAAGTATCAAGGATAAAGTGGACAGCTTTTTTTTTTTTCCTTAGTAGAAAACTATATTATAGTCAGGTCTACAAATTATCCAGAATAATCTAGTAGATAAAGAGCCAAACAAGAATAAGTCTTAGCCAGGTCCATTAGAAAAAGCTAAACAATTAACTGGTGCATTTTTTTTTTTTTTT